GGTGTCAACAGCCTGTTAAAGCACCGTCAAATCAACCACCCCAAATGGGCCTGACAATTTCGACTCAAGGTTCAATATTAGCTCAGTCACCTATAATGATGATGCCAACGTCCATTCGTGCGCCACCACCCTTGATGAGTATGTATCCACCGTTACGTAATTACTACAAATACAAAAATTAATTACAGTGGCAGCACCTCCAATGGCCGGATACGTCACCACAATGTCTCACATGACACCTGTGGGTGCCGTAAATGTTAAACACCCCCTGGAGGCCAGCATGGAGGACGAACCCTCCAACAAGAAAATGCGTAACGAAGATTCTCTCATTCCTGAAGAAGTATTTTTGGCAAGAAACACGGTACGTACCCTTTAGCGTGAAGGGTGTCTAATCGATTTTGTTCACAGAATCCGGTATCAATTAAAGTTACCATACCTTTGCAACCGGAAAAGACGGAATGGAAATTGGCAGGACAACTGCTCACTTTCATTATGCCACTTTCCGAAACTGTCGGGAATTTGAAAGCCAAAGTTCAAGAGGATACCGCCATGCCGCCGGCTAAGCAGAAATTATTTTATGACGTAAGTAGATGTCTATATTGTCTGTTCGGGTGTTATATGGCTTTTTTACAGGGGATGTTTTTCAAAGATTCAAACACCCTCGCATATTACAACATTACCACTGGAGCAATTATACAGTTGCAGATTAAGGAACGTGGTGGTCGCAAGAAATAAACAATTTGACTATTTTGAATGTATTCACAATACCTTTGTATTTCTAAGTTTGTGGTCCTAATAAACAGTACTTTAGAATTTTTTTGAGACGCTTTTTAAACAATAAAGTCAATTATTGTTAGGTACAACTTTCCAGGCACATCTTATACTTGGCAATTTAAGGGTTGCTTGTATATCCTATTGATATGATCGATCAAAGACAGAAATATTTGACTCACAACAAGGTTTACAACCCCCGCAATCGAATAATGCTACGTAAATAAGAGCGAATTTTCTTAAAAAATACGAATTTTTGAAACAGGGTGGAATTTTACTTATACCTGTCAATTTCAGGGTTGCTTGTAGTTTTTTTTAATATAATCGATCAAGGAAATAAAAATATTTGACTCGCAACAAGGTTTACAACCCCCGCAATCGAATAATGCTACGTAAATAAGAGCGAATTTTATTAAAAGACACGAATTCTTGAAACAGGGTGGAATTTTACTTATACCTGTCAATTTCAGGGTTGCTTGTAGTTTTTTTTAATATAATCGATCAAGGAAATAAAAATATTTGACTCGCAACAAGGTTTACAACCCCCGCAATCGAATAATGCTACGTAAATAAGAGCGAATTTTATTAAAAGACACGAATTCTTGAAACAGGGTGGAATTTTACTTATACCTGTCAATTTCAGGGTTGCTTGTAGTTTTTTTTAATATAATCGATCAAGGAAATAAAAATATTTGACTCGCAACAAGGTTTACAACCCCCGCAATCGAATAATGCTACGTAAATAAGAGCGAATTTTATTAAAAGACACGAATTCTTGAAACAGGGTGGAATTTTACTTATTCCTGTCAATTTCAGGGTTGCTTGTAGTTTTTTTTAATATAATCGATCAAGGAAATAAAAATATTTAACCCACAACATAATTTACAACCCCCGCAATCGAATACTGCTACGTACGTAAGGTAAGTAAGTACGAATATTTTAAAAATTACGAATTTTTTAAACGGAATGGTATTTTACGTATACTTGGCAATTTAAGGGTTGTTTGTATATCCTTTTAATATAATCGATCAAAGACAAAAATATTTCACTCACAACAAGGTTTACAACCCCCGCAATCGAATAATGCTACATAAATAAGAGCGAATTTTCTTAAAAAATACGAATTTTTGAAACAGGGTGGAATTTTACTTATACCTGTCTATTTCAGGGTTGCTTGTAGTTTTTTTTTAATATAATCGATCAAGGGAATAAAAATATTTGACTCACAACATAATTTACAACCCCCGCAATCGAATACTGCTACGTAAGTAAGATCGAACTTCCTTAAAAATTACGAATTTTTCAAACGGAATGGTATTTTACGTATACTTGGCAATTTAAGGGTTGCTTGTATATCCTTTTAATATAATCGATCAAAGACATAGAAATATTTGACTCACAACAAGGTTTACAACCCCGCAATCGAATAATGCTACGTAAATATGAACGAATTTTCTTGAAAGATACGAATTCTTGAAACGGTGTGGAATTTTACTTATACTTGTCAATTTCAGGGTTGCTTTTAGTTTTTTTTTAATACAATCGATCAAGGAAATAAAAATATTTGACTCACAACATAATTTACAACTCCCGCTATCGAATACTGATACGTAGGTAAGAACGAATTTTCTTAAAAATTACGAATTTTTCAAACGGAATGGTATTTTACGTATACTTGGCAGTTTAAGGGTTGCTTGTATATCCTTTTAATATAATCGATCAAAGACATAGAAATATTTGACTCACAACAAGGTTTACAACCCCCCAATCGAATAATGCTACGTAAATAAGAGCGAATTTTCTTAAAAAATACGAATTTTCGAAACGGGGTGGAATTTTACATATACTTGTCAATTTCAGGGTTGCTTGTAGTTTTTTTTAATATAATCGTTAAAGGAAATAAAAATATTTGACTCACAACATAATTTACAACTCCCGCTATCGAATACTGATACGTAGGTAAGAACAAATTTTCTTAAAAATTACGAATTTTTCAAACGGAATGGTGTTTTATTTATACTGGGCAATTTAAGGGTTGCTTGTATATCCTTACAGTATAATCGATCAAAGACATAAAAATATTTCACTCACAACAAGGTTTACAACCCCCGCAATCGAATAATGCTACATAAATAAGAGCGAATTTTCTTAAAAAATACGAATTTTTGAAACAGGGTGGAATTTTACTTATACCTGTCTATTTCAGGGTTGCTTGTAGTTTTTTTTTAATATAATCGATCAAGGGAATAAAAATATTTGACTCACAACATAATTTACAACCCCCGCAATCGAATACTGCTACGTAAGTAAGATCGAACTTCCTTAAAAATTACGAATTTTTCAAACGGAATGGTATTTTACGTATACTTGGCAATTTAAGGGTTGCTTGTATATCCTTTTAATATAATCGATCAAAGACATAGAAATATTTGACTCACAACAAGGTTTACAACCCCGCAATCGAATAATGCTACGTAAATATGAACGAATTTTCTTAAAAGATACGAATTCTTGAAACGGGGTGGAATTTTACTTATACTTGTCAATTTCAGGGTTGCTTTTAGTTTTTTTTAATACAATCGATCAAGGAAATAAAAATATTTGACTCACAACATAATTTACAACTCCCGCTATCGAATACTGATACGTAGGTAGGTAAGAACGAATTTTCTTAAAAATTACGAATTTTTCAAACGGAATGGTGTTTTATTTATACTGGGCAATTTAAGGGTTGCTTGTATATCCTTACAGTATAATCGACCAAAGACATAGAAATATTTGACTCACAACAAGGTTTACAACCCCCGCAATCGAATAATGCTACGTAAGTAAGAATGAAGTTTTTTAAAGATTACGAATTTCTCAAACGGAATGGTGTTTTACTTATACTGAGCAATTTAGGGGTTGCTTGTATATCCTTTTAAAATAATCGATCAAAGACATAGAAATATTTGACTCACAACAAGGTTTACAACCCCCGCAATCGAATAATGCTACGTAAATAAGAGCAAATTTTTTTAATAAATACGAATTTTTGAAAAGCGGTGGAATTTTTCTTATACTTGTCAATTTCAGGGTTGCTTGTAGTTTTTTTATATAATCAGCCAAGAAAATAAAAAACTTTGACCCGCAACAACATTTACAACCTCCGCAATCGAATACTTACACGTAGGTGAAAGTCAATTCACGTAAAAACAACGAATTTTTGAACCGGGATGAGATTTACTTATATTTGGCAATTAAAGGGTTGCTTGTAGATTCTTTTAATATAATCGATCAATGAAAAAAAATATTTGGCAACAGGATTTACAACCCCCTCAATCAAATACTGCCTTTTAATTTTTTTGTTGTGGCGTTGAGAATTCACTGATTTGTAACTAAATTTCAAAAGTTCAGTTTAATTGGGTCACCGTTGATTATAGTCGCCTCTTGCGACAGTATGCAGTGTCAGAGTCCAGTACAGTACGGGTATTCTTTGCATGAAAGAGACTAATATAGGAATAGCCTACACCGACATAAAAATTGATATAATAATCTCAAAAGAAACAAATTTATCTCGGCTTTCAATAAGACAAAAATTCGAGGGTCGTTTTTAAGAACAGTTCCTACGTCCTACTATACTCCAACTACAAATGAGGAGTAAAAAAATTGAAGAAAATTTCATTACCTATGGTGCAGGAACAAAACGAATTTTGTAAAGCTTTCAACGAGGTACCTAGTTCTTATATAATTTCCATATGTTCAACCAGTAAGAGACATAATGTCTCATTTAAACCAACCTCTATCGCTTGCTGTTTACGAGATTGTGGTCCTTATAAGAGTCACTTGGGCACAATCATAAAAGGCCGTCGTTTGGGCAATTTTGCCTTGATTCCATTCTAAAATGAAATTTGAATGTAAAGATTTAATTGCCGATTCTCGGTTTAATGCCCCATGGCCAATATGTACTGTACTTTCTAAATTCTCAGCTTTATTCATAATGAGTTCAATATCACCAAGATTCAAAATTAAGAAATAGGTAGTAGAAACTTGGTTTTTCCAGTTAAATTTAAGGTAATTTGCAAATGGCGTAAAGCCTTATCGGGGAATAGCCCAACTGTTGTTTAAAGAAAAAGGTTTAATCAGCGGTAATTAATCCTCATGTATCGCTCCGTTCAAAAGTGCATATCTACCCGTCCTCGTCCTCCCATATCAATAACCCCCTAGATGCTCCATAAAAGAAATTTGAGAAACACGAACAATTTTATTGCACTTTATACTTAGTTACATTTTTGGTAGAAAAATAAACTATGAACGTATTAAAAAATATTAAAAATTGTGCTAAATCCAGAATTTCAACTAGTTTTCACTAGCATTTGTATAATATTACGATACCGTTTCAACATAGGTTCGTATATATCTGCCGCATCGCTGTAAGGGGTGCAGACCAGCTCTGGTTCTGGAAGACAAGCTGTAATTTCCTGGTAGGTCTTTTCATTTCCTAATAGACCAATCTTTGCGTGATAAGCCGATCCAATGGTAGCCGAATTGGACACATTCTAACAGATTAGCGTCAGGTAATTTACTTAAGTAATAGTGTAACTTACCAATGTATAAACAGGTGCGTTAAATACGTCGGCCATGACTTGAAGAATTGATTTATTGCAAGAAGCACCCCCGGTGGCTAGTAACTTTGTGTCCTCTCCTGTAATATGAAAATGCGTACCTACTGTTTATTGATTACTTGCCAGATTACCAAATTTGAAACCAAAGTCTTCGGCGTACATCCGTTTCGCCATAAATTGGCCCTCGATCAGCGCGCGTACCTCTACTTCTAAACTGGTAAATTTAACAATTCTATCTCCTGCTTTATTAAACCTATAATCACCAGATAAAAATGGAATGATTTCTTGAGTGTCGTAGTATAAACCTAACAAGTGCGATACAGTGCGTCAGTACCTAAGTCGATACACCTGAAGCTTACCTATATTCCCAAAGTTACCTCTAGGAGTACTATCAAGGAGCATGTTAAATATTTCCCACGATCCTTCGGTGCAATTATTCCTAATGCGCTCTCGTGACAACGAGCCATTTTTAAAACTGCAAATATCTAAAGTGACGTACAAAAATTTCAACAATTCCCTACCATAAGAGTCCAAGATAAGCATCTTTATCGATAGGGTTGCAGAATATGTGCCCGTCTATGACGACGTGCGGTTCTTGCAACCATAGGAAGACAGTATCGCTGGTACCCAAACTAACGGCCAACCACCCGGGATTAAGTCGCAGGCCGATCAAGGAGGAGGCATTGTCTCCAGTAAATGCGATTATCTCGCATTCGGGATTAAAATCCCATCGATCGACGAAATACGGCGCAATTTTTCCTAGTTTGGTATTAGACGGCACCGTATCGCCCAATTTTGACTTTAGATTCGGCCCGCATCTGTCCAGTAACGTCTCGTTCCAAGTTTTCGATTTGATATCCATTAAGTTTGTGCCAGACGCTTCCATAATATCGATAGGTGCAATTTTACCAAGAAATAGTGAGCAAAGGAAGCTGCTTATTAGTGATATTCTCTGAAATATGAAATCATCGATTAATAACGAAACCCATACTGTCCGTATCATTAATTTAATTTCAATTCGCATGTCAACATATGGGAATAGGTATTGGCACCACAAATCCATCATTAATTAGACACGCATGATGAGATTGGTGCTTGTTGGACCGCATGCCGTTTACATTTCCGTTTAATCGGTCTTGGATGTAGGTGCGAGAATGATGGATTCTGTGGCAACATTGAAATTTTTTATTTCGCCTTCTACCAAAAAATTGTTACCAAAAGAAGAAACGGTTTTTCTCCAAATATTCACTCAAGGAGAAAACAAAAATGGGGGATTAAAATTTTTTTATTCTCTAGGGATTAAAATTACCTGTTAATGTACAAAAATTAGGGATTAAATTCAATGTATAGGTATTGGAAAAAAAACATTATGGGGTTCACTCTGTCACTGGGCGAAAAGGGGACAATAAATAAATAAATACATAAAAAAGAAAGCAAAATATTTGACGTATTTCAAAAGTTACAATCCTCGAAATAGATATTAGAACCCTCGCCACGCCATGTAAGTACGAATTTTCGTAAAAAGAAAAGAAAATATCTGGCGGAGGGTTGCAATTCTAAGCGGAATTAAGGGGTTGCTAGCGGATCTTTTCGGCATAAACAATCAAAAACGGAAAAACATTTGACGCACTTTAATAGTTACAACCCTGCCATTTAAGAACTAATTTTCATAAGAATAAAACGTAATTGGAAAGGAGCAAAGTTTTCAATTTTATACGCAGCTAAAGGTGCTGCTTGTGGATTTCTTTAGCCTAAACAAGCAGAAAAGACAAATAGTTGACATGCTTCGAATAGTACCGCCCTTGCAATAGATGAACGCCATGGAAAAGCGATTTTTCGTAAAAAATTATGGAATGCCAAAGGGGTAAAAAGTTTCAATTTTGTAACGGGAGCTCTTAAGCATTTCAGTTTTTCTTAAAACTTTCATTTGTCACTCTAGTTATTAGGACACATAGGTGTGGGCGAGTTTTTATGAAATTTGCTAGTTATAATGGTGTGGTTTTTTCTTAAATAAAGGGGTGCAAGGATGAATTTCGTTAGGGTAGCGCAGTTTAAGCATTGTGTACATTTTAATCCCTTTATATTACAAAATTTGTATTGTTTCCGTGGGCGTCATGACTAATTAATAGCCTAGGAAAGTTACTGGCGACAGTCTGACGAGTAGTTGTTAAATATGACCGCTTTAAGTGGTAAGCACTATTTTGGGAGTGATGAAAAATTAACAAGCTAAAAAGTAATCGTAAACGATTTACATAAAGCGCATTTCCACTTGCATTCATTTCCCATTTGTAAGATGCAACTTCTGTTAAAATTGTAAAAATCCGGCCACAAATATGAAAGATAGCGTTGCACATGGGCAATCCATTTTTGACGTGCTACTTCAATTTCAGTTTATGAGAAGAATTTCATTTCAATGCTTTCTAAATAAGAAAGTTGGAACTGCGCATGCGCAAACCTAAATTTTAAAACTAATTTACTATAACTAACTAATAAACTAAGATTTTCCTTTGTTCCAAGCGCCTAAGTATCAAATTTCACTTAAATATTTCCATAGATAAAAAAGTTGGCACGGCGCATGCGCAAAATAAAATTTTGAAACTGGCGCTAGATTTTCCTTTATTCCAAGTGCCTATGTATCACATTTTATTTAAATTCTTCCATAAATAAAAAAGTTGGCACTGCGCATGCGCAAAACCAAATTTTGAAATTGGCGTTTGATTTTCCTTTATTCCAAGTGCCTATGTATCAAATTTCGTTTAAATTCTTCCATAAATAAAAAAGTTGGCACTGCGCATGCGCAAAACCAAATTTTGAAATTGGCGTTTGATTTTCCTTTATTCCAAGTGCCTATGTATCAAATTTCATTCAAATACTTTTATAAGTAAAAAAGTTTGCAATTCGGTTTATAAATGGTCGAGATGCGAAAAGGGCACTGTGAATTTTGAATCGATTCGATTCAACTTTTGGCATTGCGTATTATATGGCTAAATCTATGCCCATATTGAATTTCATGCAATTCAGTTCATAACTAACGGAGATGTAAAAGCGATCGAACATTTCTAAACAAAGTTATCGTTCACACGGACAGATAGATGGACAGACAGACAAAGGAACAGACGGAGAGACCAACCGGCAGGCGACAGATAGCAATGCAAAATTATAAACGATCTCTAGGATCGTTAATAAACGGCAAAAGTGTAAAATTATGGAACATGTGAAAAAACGGTTTTTTGTTTTTTTTACAATAACTTTTTTTGTAAGCGGTACAGAAAAAATTCCTTCCTTGGTACAAGACTCGACACCATAACGAACCAAATAGCGAAAAAGTAGAACAATAGCTCTTAAGATAAAAAACTAGTAGCGTCGCAAAGTTACAAGACTCGACACCATAACGAACCAAATAGCGAAAAAAGTAGAACAATAGCTCTTAAGATAAAAAAACTAGTAGCGTCGCAAAGTTAGCGGACGGACGGACGGACGGACGGACGGACGGACAAAGTGGCCACAATAGCGCATTTTTTTTTAATTTTTGTGGAAATGCGCTAAAAAGAATACCTACAAAACCGTTCCTCACCCTGTTTCGTATTTGTAATTAATTCCTGCTTGATGGGAGCAACGATATTTTTCTGTTCCGTAAATGATCAGTCGTTCCTACAACTGCTCCCCAGATTTCATGTTCTATGCTTTAGATTTCTCCATAATCGGCATACTCTGTTTGTCAAAAAAAGTTTTTCAGACATTTACGAGAGTTTACTTTTTGTAAAGAACTAGGACATTTTGTTTGGCTTCGGCTTGTGCATTACAATTATTTTTTAAAGCGTAAATGTGGTCGTTAATTGTTGTATTAAACGCAAATCCGATCATATTATTTGAATTCGAGGTCCATATTTTATTTTGTATCGGAATCATTTAATGTTGTTAATTTTGTTTCAATAATCGCTCGTTTATTTTATTGTAAAGTTTGATTTACGTGTTAAAAAAGATTGATTTTTATTGATATTGTATAAAAGTCCGGTGTCTGGTCCTTTGCCATAAGTCTTTATCGCTACGTAAGCCAATTGGTTTCAAGATAAGCAGGTGTTATCGCCGAAATCAGCATATTTTAATTTTGTTAAAGGAGGAAGAACGGAAGTGAGAAGGAGAAATTGTTTTAAATAGAAGAGGAAGACGTTAATCGTGCATTTTTGCTTGTTGGGTGTTATTTGTTGCTTTTGTCAGTTATAAAGTTTTGTAGAAGAAAGTCTAGTTGAGTTTAACTCAAGTGTGCGTTACGTTACACGGAGAAAAGTGAATTTACAAGTCGAGAGATTTCCAATATCCGTAAAGGGAGTTTTACTTACCATCAAAGGGTCAATACTATAATTGTATGTAATTATAACGAAGTCAGTGTGATCTAAATTGAGTTTTAAGTGAAGTCAAAGAAGTGAGGTTCCGAAGCATTATCCAGCTTTGCGTTTGAGGTATGTGCTAGTGCGTCTGTTTGTTGAAAAGCACATTTACGACCGGGTGATAAGGATTTATTTGACTTCAGGTAATTAGAACTTTATTTAAATTTAATTTGTTTAATCGATCGCTTGTTGCGCGGTGTGTGTTATCTAGTGCTGAGTGCGTATATTTCTTTCAACTACAATAATCAACAATTAATGTCAAATATATTTGATTCATCTCTAAATGGTTAGTTTTGTGTTTATTCGAGCCCAAATTACGACCTAGATTAGAGTGTTCTTGATAATTTTGTTTATTTCGTACCCACAATTAGATCAGATGAACTTTTGAAGACGATTAAGGTTGCGGTATGCTATGGATAATTTAACCATTACCACATCCTTCAGCAATTTGCAGTTCAGTAAGGCATTGCTATGTGCAATGGCAAACGGTCACTATACCACCCCCAAGCACCTGTGCAGCTATCTCAATTAAACACAGAAATATAATTTTTTAGGGCACATCCAGCGTCCGCCACAACTAAAAATCTCGATTAATTTGAGAAACTCAGTAGTCTTGACCAAGTCCAAAATTCCGAAGAATTAATTAATTTTATTTAAACACCTGACATAACCCTGGGTACCACTAGAAAAATTTGGCATGAGAAATCTTTTCTAGATCGTAATTCGGGTTCGAATAATCGGATAACTTTTAAAAAGAGCTTCATTTAATTGATGAACGCACGAACAACAAGACACAAACTTCTTCTTTGAATACGCGATGCAGCACTAAACTTAATTCGAAACGGACTATTACGTTTATCTATTTAAACACTCTAAATTTTTTCCACAAAACTATACAATTAAACAAGACTGAATGTCTTTTCAAAATTCTTCGATAACGGCAAAACTACCCAACACACACAAAACAATAAACGGCCACGTTTCAACATCTACCACAAAAAACAAAACAACTATTAATGTCCACCACCAAAAAAACCTCGTATCACGTACGTCTTTGCTATTTAAAACCATATTCCTTTCTTGTTAACTTCCAACTGCCTCTTCGAATAAACAAAATCTCTGTGTTTTTGTGCATATCTTGAAAACTAATTAGCCTACGTATTGATAACGCTCTTATCGTAATGACCGGAGATACTATGAGACAAATAAAACATATCACGTACATCAATTTTAATAATAAAATAAATAAATTAAAATGAGGTCATTTAAAGAAAATTACATTAAATAAGTAATTCTACATAAAATCAAGAATGACTTCAAATTCGAATAACATGATCGAAATTGTGTTCATTCTGAATTAGAGACCAGAATTGAACGTCAAAGAAAATTGAAATAAACACATGCTGGATGATCCAACATTACCGTAGGTGCTGATACCAAATAAAACGTTCGCATGACAATATATTTTGCGTTACATAATGTTTAATGTGTTAGTTTAGTGACGTACGACCTTTTGACTTCAAATTCAATAAAGTTCTTACTTGAACAAAGAGGAATCTATATGTATACTATGTTTAAAGACGTATAAAAGACCTGCCGGGTCCATAATTTGGAATCTGAATTTATGATCATATATACACTGTGTCCAAGATGTCTACATCTCAGAAACCATAGAAGATACTACGATGGTCAAAT